ATTTACATATCTATAGGATAAAATATTAGAATTGAAAAATTTGGTTTTTGTGAATTAGAAATGAACTGTAAATAAATTGTTATAACTTATTAATTAATAAAACTAGCAAATAAAGATATGATAAAAAAAGGTCACATAACAGAATTATGTAATTATTTCATATAAAAATTTGATTTTTCTTAAATTACTACTATTACAATAAATTTATTTATACTCATATTATTTGTTACATTTGACAGATATTTATGATTAAAATTATTGTTTTTTCAATTATGTAAATTATGTATAAAATTAAATATTTCAACATAATTAAGTTAATAATTTCTTCTGCAATAGTTTCAACTAAATATTATTTCGTCATTATCATCAATATTTCAAGCAAAATCTTCATAATGTTGCAAAAACTTAGAGATTTACAATAAATAATAACATTTTCGTATTTCATTAACTATTTGAATTATTAATCAAATATTGCATAAGATTCCATGTAAATAAATTATATAATTATTTGATTAATACTTAGGAAATTTGTAAAAAAAAATATCATGTATTTGGATTTTGGATTTTGGATTTTGTGAATTAGGAATGAACTGTAAAAAAATTGTTATAACTTATTAATTAATAAAACTAGCAAATAAAGATATGGTAAAAAAGGTTACATAACAGAATTATGTAATTATTTCATATAAACTTTTAATTTTTTGAAATTACTACAATTACAGTAAATTTATTTATACTAATATTATTTGTTACATTTGACAAATATTTATGATTAAAATTATTGTTTTTTCAATTACGTAAATTATGTATAAAATTAAATATTATAAATTTTCAACATAATTAAGTTAATAATTTCTTCTGCAATAATTTCGACTAAATCTAATTCGTCATTATCATCAATATTTCAAGCAAAATCTTCATGTAGAACCTTAGAGATTTACAGTAAATAATAACATTTTCGTATTGCATTAACTATTTGAATTATTAATCAAATATTGCATAAGTAATTAAATTATATAATTATTTGATTAATACTTAGGAAATTTGTAAAAAAAAATTATCATGTCTGCTTGTGGTAAATTACAAGTTACATAAGAGAAACAACTAGTAATTATATAATTATTTAATTGATTTCTTTTCTTAAATTATTTCAGTATATTTTAGTATGTATACTTTAATATGTAACTATTATCAGTTGTTTTATGTTTATGATTGAAATTGTAGTGTGCATCCAATATTACTTTCATAACAACTATAGTTAAAAGTATATTAGTATATAAATGATTATGTAATTAATTTTTTGTGATTTCTTTTTCTGTTTGCAGTCGTTTTTCGGTCGGACGTACAACAATTTGGGCTCGATCTCGGAGTGCAAGAATAATGGGGAGTGCGTGATCAACAAGAAGAACAGGACGGCGTGTAAAGCATGCAGACTGAGGAAATGCCTTCTCGTAGGGATGTCGAAGAGTGGATCTCGCTATGGTAGGAGATCGAACTGGTTCAAGATTCACTGCCTCCTGCAGGAGCAGCAACAACAACATCAGCAGCAGCAGCAGCAAGGATCCGCTGCAAGCATGGTGGCAGCAGCGAACCTGCTGAGGCCTCATCCCTACCTTCCGCTCTTCCGCAACCCCACGGCGACGTCACGCGAGACGCGAAGCTCGGAATCGGACAGCGGCGCTTCCTCCGCCGACCCAGAGGACGAGATCCGATCCGCGAGTGGACTGAGTTGTTTGAAGATGCCACCGTCCAGCCCTTCGAGCGATCGTGATTACTTTTCCGGTTCCGGCTCATCGAACAAGAAGTTGCCGTCTCCTGCGAGCGACGGTGAATGCTTCGCGCGACGGAAGCTAGCGCACTTCACGCCGGCTTCACCCGCCTCCCTTCCGGCCATCTCACCTGGAGGACTTCTTCCACGATGGTTGCCGCCGTTACAGGGCGTCGCCGATCCCGCCTCCTGGCGCGAACTGTGGCTCAAGGGTTGCTCGATCTCCATCCCTGCGACGGCAGCTACCGCCGCCATCGCCGCACCTCCCGATCAGGATCAACCAATCGACTTATCCGTGCGGCAGCCGCCTCCACCGCCTCCGTCTTCATCGGCCTCCCCCCATGCCCATCCGAATGCGGCGGCGACGTCGCGTTCTCACCACTCGGGGGAGGACAGTGAACCGGAACTCAGTATCGACGTGGGTGTCGACGAACCAGTGAAATCCGTGCCTCTGGACCTGACCCTCGATCGGCCCAACGACCAACTCATCACCAACTAAACTATTACAATAACTACACGCAAGGAACAAGGAATTCCCAAACCAACTTAAACCCCTGAAAGAATGTTCCTCCCATACAGTAACACCGCACTACTGTTATGTTACGTACGGATCAAGAGTAAAACGAAGAGAGAGAAAAAAGTGTACAACTTTGGGGCCAGTATTAACAATCTTTGTTTTTGTTATTTCTCGAATAACGATCGATCACAATTTAGCTCAAGATTACTAATAACATTTTAGGTAAGTCCAACAATAACTATAAACAACCGTCGTCGAACAAATAAAAAGGAGCCGTTAAATTTAAATATTACACATCCACAAAGGTTACGCAATAAATTCAACCACACGGAACGTATCGAGTTACACATCTCCTAGTTGACCGCGTTTCAATTGACCAAACCGAATATTTCACTCCTTAAAATTATCATGAAACATGTAACTCGATCCTCGAAAATCTATTCAAAATATAAAAGAAATGCTAATAATTGGACTGATTATTTAAATCGTGACTTTAACGCCTTCTCCAGCGATTGCATAATAATACAATTCACATACAAAATACTTGGCAAGTAACTCATTATAAAATATGCAAAAATCTTGACAAACTTTAGTACTACTAAAATTAATTAATTATTACATTTTATTTAGTTACTAATCACTTGTCATATTCTATCATATTTATTAATTACTTGCACTTCTTTACACGTTACTTGTAAAGTATTGTATAATCATAATGAGCCAGTAAATACAAATTATTTAAAGATTTTGAGCTAAATTGCAACGACTACACAAACAGAAAGAAAGAAAATTCACATTTCGAAAGCTAACATAATTCAAATAAATATAATCAATTGTAGAATTACATTTATTTGCAATTAAAGCAAATTAATTTAGTTTAAAATTTAGATAATAATTAAATGTTTATCAAATTACGTTTTATAATTTAGAAAAAAAGAAAACCAAGAAATTTAGTAAAAAAAAATTAGATATATTTCTTTCTTTTGTTGGTAGTCGTCAGTCGTTCTTCTGATAAATGTGATATTTATAGATTTTATATAACTATACTTATATATTATATATTAAAAGAAAAGGAACATTAATATAATCATTAATATTTTTTATACAATATATACAACTATCATAATATTGTTTACTGCATTATTAATACTATGACATAATATTACACTTATAAAACTATATTTACTAATATACAGGTAGTTTTCACTTGTTAAAATTTTCATTTTTTTGTCCTATACTCACATTAATATTGAATTTCAGATAAAATCATAGCTAAAATTCGTAAAGTGAAAATTCACTGTATAAATATGTAAGCAATACAAATTCCGTCCACGATTGCCATAAATTCTCGATACTCTTGGTTGGAACACTTCAGTAATAATTAAATAATTAATTAATTAAATGAAACGAATAGTGTGTGTTTTTTTTATATAACTTTTTATATAAATATAATAAATATATACACACAAACTATATAAATATATATATATACACTTATGCGATCAGTACCTGATAAAGAAAAATAATTATTTAAGAATTAATACTTTGTTTGTTTAGTTTCATTATTATTTGTTTGTAATTAAATATTTTGTTTTGTTTGTTTATGATATTGATTGCGAGGAGATCGAGAAACGGTTATCATCGATTTGTACTTTTGTTTTAATTTATTTAGTATCTTCGCTATATAATATAAGTGTTAGGACAATAACTTGAGGTCAGTTTTTTCTTATTTTTTCTGTTCATCCCCTTAGTATTATTTTTCGATAGTTTAATGTAATTTTATCTAATGATTATTTGTTTATTTGTTTTTAGTTATTTCTTTGCTGAGGGTTTAGTTAATATATATATTTGTCTTTTATATATTATTATT